GTTGATGTTATAACTTGGGAAATAATCCTACCTTTAATTAATATCAGAACCTAACATGAGGTTTATCAAACAGGTTATATTGAATGCTCACGACGGATGCTGAGTTATTAAGCTGAAGGTCATTAGGCCGAGTGGTCATGAGGACGAATTCCGGAAAATATTTCGAAGAATATTTGCTGGATTGAAAAAGAAGAATAACCAGTGAATAATAGAAGGATAAATAAGAGTATACTGTATTGGACTCAAATCGCCAACAATTATTCCATGTCAGGAAAAAGAAGAAGAAGAAAAAGAGAAAAATACTACTACTGGAAATCCGGGAATGCTCAGAGATTTTGTTTTCCTTACACATCTGGAATTCTAAGGGAATTTTTAAATTCTCTTACCAATGTTTTTTTAAAGAATATAACACCTTTCTTATGTAAACATTAATTTTTCTCGTTATTTTCTTTCACTCATTGAACTTCATAGATCCTGAGCAGATTTATCTTCAGTATTTTTTTTAAAGTTCAGGTTATGGAATATGGATATTATTCACAAATTTTAAATTTGAACAAGTTTTAAATTTGGACAATTTATTTGAAATTCTGAACATCAACATAATTATTTTTGGAGAAATTTCCAAGAACCTGGAACAAAGACGCAAACTCATTATGTCAGACGTTGTGCATTTTTGTATGTATTTTTCAAGATTCGAAGAACATCTAAATTAAGGTCCAATGATAATTTTCAAGGCTCATGAAATTTGATGATAATTTCTAAGGAACTCATTCAAAGGGAGTTCTGAGAGGAACTGTGAGGAAAACATCAAATGCAATCTGCTTTCATGGTAGTCCAGAGGAACTCTAGATTCTATGTGAAAACTGAATACCAATGTTGTTTTGAGCAGAAACCCAGAATAGGATTCGAATGAAATTTAAATGTAAATTCATAGGAATTTCTGAAGCTAATTTTTAAAAAAATATGGGCCCTTATTACGTGTGTCACTTCACGGTGAAAACGAAGTGAAATGAGCAGTTGTCACTCATGGTGAAGTGATTTCCGTGTAAATCGGGTACTTCGGGAATATGCAACAAGAGGATTACAATTAAAACTGAAAACAATTCCAGAAGAACTTTGAACGAACTCGAAAAATAATTCTAGGAGAGTTCTGACTTTTTTTATATATATAATGCGTTTATTTTTCCATGCTCATGTGCCGTAGCTTTGCGGAGCCGATATTCATCGTTTGGGTTGCAAAATAACTTAAAACTAACGTTAGTAAAGCGGGGGCCGATTACTCGCGGCTATCTCGAGGTTAGGGGTAACAAATTGTAACAAATGGATGGCAGGGTAGGGATTGAGAACACAAGGTTTTTTCTAGCAATGTGCTTTTGATCTCGAACTAAGCGACATACTCATTAAAAAGATAAACATGGGGGTACACCGATGGGCAGCTAACAACTTGGGAGAACACAAGATGACACTAACTACTAAATCCTTAGATCGATCCGTTTTAAAAACACATAAATTATATTTAAATAGTCGAGATCTCGGCTCGCCAAGATGTCTCTAACGGGCCGCAAAGGTTGTTTTCCTCGGGCCCCGAGGGATGCGGATAACTCGGATCTAGCAACACAATGGAGGGTGCATGACCAAAGCACGTGGTCGATATCGTGATAGCCACTACCACAACCCTAGCACAACCCCTTGTCACTGAGTAGTTGCGGTTACTTGTATGTAACTTATTTCAGTCACAATCAAGTTGCAGCTACTTATTACGATGGAAGTGTGTTGCTTGGGAAGCGCACAAATGGAGAGTTCTGACTTGAATGCCAAATAATTTTCAATGAGAAATCTATGGAATTTGTTCCTTCACTGCTAGGGAATTCTTAAGAAACTTTCAAAGTGAATAGAATTCCAAGGGAAGGAGTAAAATTCAAATGGCATTCTGAATTCATTTAAAAGTCTGAGAATACTTCCAAAGGATTTCTTATTGATGAACACTTCAAGGCAATTCCGAGGAAAATTCCATGGAAATTTAATTCCAAGAATGATTCAAGCGACATTTCAAGGGATATTTCAAAGAAATTGCAAGCATGTTCCGGTGATAAATTTTAAGAGAATTTTGAGGAGCATTTCAAAGAATTTATGGGTGTGCTGAGCAGTATTTAAAAGGAATCCCTGCAAAACATTCATAGTATTTTTTGGATAATACAAAGTGAATGCCGAAGAGAGCTCCAAGTGCATTTTTCGGAGATATCTCCGAGGAATACTTAGGTAATACTGCATAAATTATTAATTATTTAGAGAGAATTGCAGATTGAATTCAAAGAGTGGTCTGCAGATGATTTTCAAGAGTATTATGAAGAAAATTACTAAAAAATTCCAGAAAGAGGTCTAGGATGAAACTCGAAGACTATTCTGGTAGCGGTAGGTAGATATTGGACAAAAAAAAAAGAATCAAGATCCAGGATTTAGAAATTTTTTAATCTATATAGGGGAAATGGCTCTAATGTGGGCCCATCGCTAAAAATCTGATATTTATCAGTTGTGTCTAGATGAACGCGTCATTGGGACGGTACTAATGGATATTTTTGGTAGCAATTGAAAATTTAGTCGATTGCTGAATTTATGTATGGGCCCAAATTAGGGGCATTTAGGCCGACATTACATCCATTTTCCCTTGGCTTTTCAATAGCTTTGGAGTCGGTCATACGTTTCCGGAGATATGGTCTAAACAAGATCCGAAAATCACAGATTTTGAGAACTAAGTTGTGTTTTTCGACAAATACTAAATCGAACCGTTTTATGATCCCATAGATTTATTTTTTTATTTAATATTGGCCAGAACAATATCCGAAAAAATACGGATTTTGGGAACTAACTGGTGTTTCTCGGCAACCACTAAACCGAATTGGACGCATCATCCGTAAAATGAAAAGTATCATGGTTCCATATACCGCTAATGAATAGTTTTGGAATCGGTTGTCCGGTTCCGGAGCTATGACCGGAACATGTTCCGGTGAATATGGATTTTAGGATATAAGTCGTGTTTCTCGGTAACCACTACACCGAATTAGACGGAACAACCATCCAAATGAAAGGTATCACGGTCTCATACAAACTGGTTTCGGAGATATGGCTGGAACATGCCATCTATTATTCATTTCTCTGTTCACCAACAGCTGCTATTTGTAATAGCTGATTATCAATCATGGGCTGTTAATCAAGTTCATGTCCAGGATTCTTTGATTTAATTATAAAGAAGCTTAACAAGAGCTGGACAAGAGCATAGTGTGCTACGAAAAAAAGAAAAGTTACTTGCTAATAGTCTAAATTCGAAATGGTCGTCATGTAATCGCCTGACCATTCGGAAATAATTACAATTCCTTCGCTAATAAGCCCTAATTGATACAATAAATACACTAATTGCAGTTTTTGTAGCTTCACTCTTCCACGGTCGATCCATAACCAGTTATCGTGTGATCACACCTCGAATCCATCTACGGCATCTACCTCATTCTTCATTCGTCTTCGAAAAGTGCGCTAATCTATGCTAATGACCATCTCTATTATACCGTATCGGACGAACCATTTTGCTCTGCTCATTCAAACAGATGGCGCTTTTCCTACTCCGGAAAGCTTTTTTTCACTAAGGAAGTTTCCTACCGTTTCGTTTTACTTACACACCCCTCTTAACGATTCATTTATTCACGCTATTTAAACGTAAGGATCGATGCAAACGAAATGATGATTTTTTTTCCTCCCCCAATCCACGATCCAGTAATTAATCTGTTTGCATTCAAAGAGAGTGCAAGCTTAATTGTTCGTCCGATAAATTGATCCGTAATCCAATGATGACGGGTTAACGAATTGAGTGTTATTTTCTTCCTCTGACATCACCACCCAGTAATTATCCTTGCCGCCAAACAAACATGTCGATACCGGCGTAAATGGAAATCAGAATCAAAATGTTGCTTGTCGATCTCTTGTTTAAACCATGTGACAGGTGTGACAGATACTAACATGTCAGAGAATTAAACCAGTACGTGAAGCCATTGCAACGGTGATACAGCGGCTGTCCAAGTTTGTGGGTGATTGAGTAAATGGAAGGAACAAAAGGTGCGTGAGAATAATTACGTTTGGGTGGGTACTGGGGGTAAAATGAACAATTGGCTATTTTGGCACTGATATCATCATATTCTGATTGAAAGGCCTGTGTGTGCTTGTTTCATGTATATTATGATGCACAAGCACTTAACAACGTTCAACGTGTTCATTTTCCCCCGCTTCCCCTAAATACTGCTGGAAAGTGCCAATCTGGGTGATTCAAAGCGAAATCGAACAAGTCAAACAGTATTAACAAAAACTTCATGTTGAATGACTTTTGGATTTATGTACCTACATCGCTTTGGTCTACATATTTGCGTTTCCATCATCCATGCTTCATATACAAACATATTTGTCGGAATTATGATTCCTTAATACAAACAATGCTATTCAGACTATTTTACAAGAAGAGGTTGTAAAGTGTTTCACACATAAAAGCTGCTAATTTCACTTTAAATAAGTCAACGGTTTTATGATTCCTGGGCGTTCGCTCAAAGTGAGCTCTCATGAATCATAAAATCATTGATTGTGACTCTCTGAAAGCGGATTTGACAGGTTTTATGAGTGAAACAATACTCTACAACTTCTTCTTATCATTATAAAATCCAATGATTTCATAATTAAAAAAAAATATTTTTTTAAGCGAAGTAAGCTACGATTGGAAAATAAACGGCGAATTGTTGATCGATTCCGTCATTGAATCTGCATATTAATAAGTACGCAACAATGAAATTAAATAGCCTGTATCTGTTAATGTGCGTTTGCGTTGGTGGATAGGAAGTATTTGTGGTTATTCAACATTCATTCGATGACCTAATTAAAGCTAATTTATTCGGTTTCGATCATTCTGATAACATTTCAATTAACTCGTTCTTTTTTTTTTCCTTCTTCGTCTGTTCTGTTTTCAGGAGTAACAATGCGTGAGAAAAAAGGAGGTGCCCTACAGAAGCTAAAAAAGCGGTTATCGCACAGCTTTGGTCGATTATGTAAGTATGTTATTAGCAGTGTTTAGTAATAGGATTTCTTTTCCGAGGTAATTCTTTGTCTTTGAATTCTTTGTCTTTGACTCTTTGGTTAACGTTTTATCCTTTTCGTCAAACATGATTCCGTTAAGTGTAATCAACCGTAGACACTCACACTGTATTCAGTGTTCAGTTAAAGTCTGTAGTTTTGAATTTCTAATTGGCGTAGATACCCATATCGCTTGGTTTCAGGTGCTTGTCCGAAGCCATCATCTTGAATTCGATTAGGAGATGAACCAGCGTTTGGCTGAAAATCTCCTTAATAAAGACAACCAACCAACCAACCATCTTGAACTCGGATCCTTACTTACCACTCAGGCTAAGGCCTGGGTGTCCTTTGATGTACATAGAAATCGTCTCCATTCCATTCGATCCATGGCTACTTGTTGCCAGCCTCGCAATCTGTGAAGGCTTCACAGCCCAGAGTCCCAAAAATTTAAGAATTCTGATTGGGCTTTGAGTTTTGAGTGTTGGAGTCTTCCGGGCAGGCATCGCAGGTGTATTTCGAAAAAACATCGTCAACGAGATCGAAGAAATGTCTTCACATTTTTTTTTAATTTGCTGGCGGGGGAAGGTGTTTAATATTATTTCAGATTTATAAAACTGAGTTTTAACAAAAGTTTAAGGCTATCTTAGAAGTCAAGGGCAGTTTGTAAAAGTTAAGAGAACATAATTTGATTTCCGAGAACTTCATAGATGATCGTTGAGCTTCGTATGAGTTGAGGGAACGTTGCAGAATTTTAAGGAACTTCATAGAACTCCTTAGAAGTTCTGAAAACTTTCTAGAAGCGCAGTAAATTGTATAGAAGTTCTGCTAACTTTGTAAAACCTCAGTGAAGTTTGTAGAAGCTCATCGAACTTTTTAGCACTTCAGTAAACTTCTAAAAAAATTGTTATCAAACTTTTTTGAAGTTTAGAGATTTTTTTGGAAGATCAGAATGTTTTTCTTTAACTTGATTTCTAAAAAATATTGAAAAAAAGTATCAAAAATCTAAAAAAATCATATTTTTTCTAATTTTTTAAAGAAAATTCACGTGCAAAAACATGTTTTATAAGTCATTATGGCATAAAGTTGGACGAAAAAACCACAAAACATCAACTTTTCAGTTTTTCTGAGAGTCCAATTTTTTTTCATGATTGGATAGAAAAAATTTTTTTGCATGTAATTTTTGACAAAAATCTAAGGAAGAAACTGATTTTCTTGGATTTTTGATAATTTTTCCCAATATTTTTAGAAAAATAAAAACGTACCGAAAATATTTTTTTATTTTTGGGCCGGTGAGCTTCCCCTTAAGGAACTTAGTAGATGTTCAAGGGACGTCCTAGAAATGCAGGAAATTTAATATAAATTCGGTGCCCCCTTAGCTCAGTCGGTAAAGGTGCAGCTACAAAGCAAGATCATGCTGGAGGTGGCTGGGTTCGATTCCCGGTTCGATCTAGGATTTTTTTCGGGTTGAATTTTTTTTTTGACTTCCCTGAGCGTAGAGCATGATTGTACTTGCCACACAATAATACTAATGCAAAAATGGTACAGGCTTAGAAAGCTCTCACTTAACAAAAAAAGCACTAAGTTAAGAGCCGGTCAAAAGTCCCAGTAGGGACGTAAGAAAAGCCAAAATAAGCAGAATAATATAAATTCAGAGAACTCGGTAGAGATTCAGATAATTTTGCGGAAATTCAGAAAGCGTCGTAACTTCGTCGAAGTTAAGGAAACTTTGTTTAATCACGCAAAAGCACGCAATCACCCAACATGCGATAAGCAATAAGCTTGAAATTCGAAGAAGAAGAAGAAGAAGAATTTCTTCAAACTTCAGAGCACTTCGTCAAAAATAAATTAATTGTTCGGTGAATTCCGTTGTAGAACTTTAGCGAACTTCGCAGAAAATCAACGAAATTTTTAAAATTTCATGGAACTTCGTAGAGGCGCATCGAACTTCATGTTGTAGTTCAGCGAACTGTGTAGAAGTTAAGAAAATTATGTAGCAATTAGAGGAAATTTGTAAAAAATTTACAAGAGCAGGGAATTTTGTTAAAGTTCAATGAACTTTGTAGAAGTTTAGCCAACTTTGTAGAAGCTAACTTCTTTGAAGTTCAAAGAATTTCGTTGAAGCTGAGGGAACATTGTAGTGGTTCAACAAACTTCTTAGAACATCAGAGTTTGATTTGGGATCTTTTATTCGCCCAGATGTTCAGAAAAATTTGTAAAAAAAGATTGAGGATCTTCTTGAAAGTTTGGGAATAGTCAGGCATGATCTTGATCAAATTAAGAGAGCTGGGGATTTTTTTTAAGTCGGAAAAGGGTGTCAGAATTTTATGAAATTTGGCCCAGAAGTAGAGTTTATGGTTATATGAAGCTATGGAAAAATCCTAGAAATTCATCGAGACCGAACTACGTAGAAGTTCTTGGAACCTCCCAAGAGTTCGCGGAACTTTTCACAAGTTCAATAGGGTGTCGACTACCTAATAAAAAACATGGACAATCAGGGAATTCATTTTTGGACCTGGAAAATCAGGGATTTTCATTCAAATTCAGGGAAGTATTTCTTATTTACAGAAGTATGACTAATTTTACTAGTTTCAAACAACTCAATTACTCGGTGTAGTTGGTTGTTCATTTCAAATTTTAAATAGAGTTGCGAATTTGTGGTTGCTCAATGCTCGATGTTGCATTTTTATTTTTGCAAGTTGAGCCTGAATTATTCAAATAAAAGAGTATTTTGAGGATTTCGTGCCTAATAGGGGAAATGCCCCTAATATGGGCCCATACATAAAATCAGCAATGGACTAAATTTTCAATAGCGACCAAAAATATCCTTTAGTACCGTCCCAATGCACAGTGGTCCAAAATGCAGATTTAGGTGGAATGAAATTTGAAATTTCTCATGAAAGTCATCTTCTAGAGACTTTTAAAACTATTTAAGACGAATGTTTTATAGTGAAATTTGTTGTCTGTATATCTTCTAATATAAAAGATAAAAAATATGAATAAATTCTAATTGATTTTATACTAGTTTAAAAAATAACGTACCTTCATTTTTTCATATTATTGAGAATAACATACGCCCTTTCAAATGTCGTAAAAAAACTTTTTTTTTTGTTTGCCCCAACCAGAGATACTAACATTTGAAAAGTGCATATTTTTAGTATAAAAACGTCAATAACTCTTGATCGGCGAAACTTTGTGCAGCAAAAATTTGCGCCTTCTTAAGATCTAAAAGTAATTTGAAGACACATTTGCTGAGAAATTCGAAATAAGAAAACTAGAGCAAAACAACTGTTATTTTTAGAGCCCCCCCTACTCAATTCAAGAAAATAGCCCTAAATCGGCCAATTTAGGAGATACAAAAAAGTTGGTTCTCCCCAAAGTTGCTTGAAATTAGCTCAGCTATAACTTTGCAAAAAAATGTATACCTTAATTTATTCAAACAAAAAAGTTAGATTTTTGATCTTAATGATAATAGGAACCACCCTAGAATTCATTGTCATAAAAATGAGGGCCTAACTATAAGGAACAACTTTGTAAAAGAGACTTTTAGTCTAAAGTTCCATAGGCCAACATTAGAGGCTTTTCCCCTATATATTCAGCTCCCACTGAGTGTTGAAACATTCTTGAGTTGAGCTAAAACCCTGAGGGTTGATAAAAATCTATTTCCGCAGACAATAGACGTTGTTAGGTTTTGCAAAATTTAACCCTTAAATGGGTATATAAGCTAGGTTGAATTCAACGAAATGTATACAAGCATTGCCTCGACCGCATAGAGTGGCTTTATTGAGTGTTCTAGGTCTTCATTGTAAATCTGGTAAGCTGTAAATCTGGTAGTTTCTCAGTGAAGTTTAAGTATTGAAATTGCGATGAAATTGACTTACAGAATTTTGGAGGGGAAAGTTCTGTATTTACGACTTCCCATCATAGAAATCTGGCCGCGAATCAGCGTTTGGTTAAGCCTATTATCCGTAATAATTTTCTTGTGGAGCTAGGTCTCAAATTGTGCTCAAGGGATTAAAGACAAGTGTTTCATATGTAACGTTGAGTTCGAAAACAGTCAGAAAAGAACTTCTAAGCAGGGCTGAACAAGTTCACGATATTTCACGAAGTTCAACAAGGGAAAAGTTCGCGAGTCATAGTTAGTGTTGGTGAATATTTTCAACACTGCTTCTAAGGGTAACCCGTAACGTGGGTAGATCACCTTTTCGTGGTACGTTACGGGATGTAAGATCTACCACCGATTCCTAGTCCTAACTTCTTCAAACTAGGGGAACAGGATTTTTCAGTAATCAAAGGAACACATCTTAGTCCTTGTTACTTTTTATGCCTTGTTGATAGTGATAAGTCCTCGGGTTGCCTGGACCGAGGATGATCTTGAAACAAGGAAAAAATGAGTTAGTTAGTCTTCACCTATGTGATTCCTAATCTTCTAATCGTTGTTCCCTAGTTTGAAGTGGTTAAGACTAGGGTTCTGATGCATGGTCATTATCGGTGTCATAGCTTGTTTTAGTTGTGAAGGAATCCAATTTTGACTGACAAAGGGGCGCGCCTTTGGAGGGTGTTCCAACTCCGAAGGGTATAAATAGCGGAACCTTTCAGTTAGAATCGATTCCTTGCGATGAAGGCAAGAATGACAACTGTATCAAAACCGAATACTTCATCATTTCTCAATAGTGATGGAGTAATACGACATGCACTAAACTAAGGACACGGGATATACTACAATAGATCAAATTACTGGTCGCTGTGGTGTTATGTCCCGAACAGAGGAAAAAAAAAAAAAAAAAAGGGTTAGAAAATCGCCATACCAAGGGCCTCTTTTCATATCATGGTGTAAATCGAGCAAAAATGCTGAAAACTTTTAGCGGTTAAGCAAACCTTGTTTGTTGATATCAAGATGGTTGCAGTTTCCTTCACACATCGATATTAATCATGGGTCGAATTGATTACCTAGCGCTGACCACGATTATAATTTGGG